TGGCATTTCTCAAAATGCATTTTTGTACTGAGCTAAGCCCTTGGCTTTGGGTTCTCCCAATTGTGATTTTGTCCAGTCTTAGTGGTTTGCACTGACTCTGTGCACTGTCCTTAGCCCACTTTCCTTAACCCAACTAACCAGAGCAAGTTAGACTGGTTTTATCTCCCTGGAAGCCATAAAAGCATGCAGTTTCTCTTTTGCTTGATTTTCCACTTTCAATATGAAGCCTTGTCCTGCCCCTAGCCATGTAGAAAGTGTTTCTCTCCCCTGCTGCTAAGAACTGCATTAGAGCAGATGTTGAAAGATGGATTCTCATAATAGAGAAGCATCTTGGTTTCTGTGATATTCGTGTCAGGTTTTTAAGAACGTGATACTCTCTAAGAAATTTGCAAAGCTAAATAGAAATTATTTTCTGTGGTTTAACATTTCTTTAAACCATGTGTCAATGCAAGGACTTTTGAGAGAACAGACCATGTTACTTGATACAGATGCCCATGCCGAATGGAGAGGAATGGGCTCACCTTCATTTGGTCTAGCAGGGTCAACCAACTGTAAGGCCCATGAGTCAAACTGACCTACTGCCTGTTTCTATAAATGATTTATTGAAACATCATTGGTTTTTGTGGTGTGATGGCTGCTTTCCCACTACAGAGTGGATCATAAATGACAAAAGTTTCACGGCCTGCATGAGGGTGAAAGGAGCTTCCCCTCTGCAGGTCTGAATATGGAAGTCTGCTGAAATGAACTGACAATAGGTTAACAGGAGAAAAGGCACATGGATTTATTGATGTGAACATGTATGTAGGAGCCACATATGATCCGAAGCTCAGAGAAGGACAGATGGCTGAAGCTTAGATTTTCTCATCATAGGAGAGAGAGAAGTGGGGTAGGTTGCAGTTGTAGAGGGCATTCAGTGATTGTTCGGGGAGCTGAGTGGGCCTAAGGACCGGCAGTAGCCTGTGACAAAGCTCTCTGGGCTCTAATGTACTATTCAATCTTCAGTCTCTCCCTTTGTGCTATGGGTTTCATCTTCCTCCATTAGTGACATTTTTGTAAGAAGATGAAAGGCACTCATGTTCCTCTTTGTTGGATCAGTCTTTATATAGATAAGGGAACTTCAGAGAAAGGCCTTCCCTGCGTTTCAGGAAAGAGGATTGAGAAACGGGGAGATAGAAAGATTAGAGAGATCTTGAAACTGCTTCTTTTAGTTCAGCCTGTGAGAACCCCAAACTCTGGGATATTGTTTTGTGAGGTCCAACTCCTAAAAAGCCTGAAATACTTATAACCTGGGCCCTTTCCAAAATGAGTTTACCAACCTCTAGATCACAGCATAGTGTTTAAGTAGTCAGGTCTGGTTCATCCCTAGCACTTGGAGCTGTGGGTGAGTTTTTAACTCTTCTAAGCTTTAGTTTCCTCAAGTATGAAATGGAGGATACTGGGGATAAAATGTTTAATTGAGATAGTATCTGTAAAGCACTCGTCTTGCCCCAGGCCCTACAGATTTATAAAAAGTCCCAGAAAAGTACTGAGCATGGTGTTTGGCATGTGGAACGTGCTCAGTAAACATGTGAACATATAAAATAGCTAATTGTATCTGTTGTTTTCTGCCACTTTGTGGCCATTACTGTGGATTGCTGGAATTCCAACCACCTCCATCCCTCCGGTTTCTTTACATGGCAGCTCCAATTCCCACAAGAAAGCAGTCAACGACTATCAAGATGCCCTGAATGGAGTGGGTAGGAGGAAAATAGTCTCTGATAAGCTGTGAGGAATATAGGAATCAAGTTGTCAAGTCACAATCCCTGCTGTAGGACAGCAGATAGGGTGTGGCCCTGGAATCTGAAATCAGGGTTTGCATTTTTGCTCTGCCATTTACTAGATATATGACCAAATGTAGCAAGTTAACCTTTCTCTTCTTCACAGTGTTCTCAGGTTAAACATTAATGTGATCAATAGAGTTGTGAAGGTGTACTGAAATCAAATATAGAAAATACTTGGTACATGTAAAGATTGATTCCATCCCAGTGGCTCAGGAGGCGGAGACAGGAGGATGGCAAGTTCAAAGCCAGCCTCAGCAACTTAGCGAAGCCCTCAGAAACTTAGCAAGACCCTGTCTCAATATAAAAAATAAAACGGCTGGGGACGTGGCTCAGTGGCCCCTAGTACCAAAAAAAAAAAAAAAAAAAGATTGATTCCATAAATGTTGGCTCTTAGCCATGTTGCCTAACATAAGCAAAAATGGGAAGAGAGCTGATGTTGGAGATGCAGGTATCGGTGTGGCACACTTTCCTTGAGTTGCAGTTCTTTGCTCTAAAGTCTGTGAGACTTTCTTTGACTACCCATATTAAAATCTCAAGCTCTTCCCTGCTTAATTTTTTATCCATGTAACATATGATTATGTGCATGTTCTATATTTATTTGCCTATTTATTAACTATTTCTCCCTACCCATGTGCATTCCATAAGGATAAAGATTATAATCTTATTCCCTGATATGTCCTTGATGTCTGAAATACTATTTGCCCTTTAGTAGCTGTGTGTTAACTATCTGATAAATGACCAAATGGAGCCCAGAGGACCTTCATATGGCCCTAGAAGCATCCTGCTTATCTTGGGGGGATCTGACTGGGGCTGCAGGAACAGGAGGCCAGCAACCTTATGAAGTTGAGCAACCATTGTGGTCAGGCAAGTTAACACTAGTGTGCTCAGTTGTGCAGCAACAGAAGATTTGTAGAAAAGCTTCCCACTGTTAAGGCTAAACATAGGAGTTGTGAAAGCAGTAAGAAGTTTTGGGGATTTGTATTTTGGGGTTGTTTAATACTTGTGGCAATCAAAACTGGGGCTTGTGTGGAGATGTTGGACATGGGCCTCCTTATCTCAAGTCATCATCCTCAGTGGTTAGCAGGGACTCCTGTTGGCCAAACAGTGAACCCTAAACTTTAGGGAGCTGGATCAACTGACTCACAGCACTTGAAGTGAGAAATGGAGCTCTAACTTGACTTCAAGGTCTCCAGGTGAGAGACATCAGTGCCCGCTCCACTTTTCTACTTTTGATACCAAAGCGTATTTGGAAAGGAGAAGAGAAGGTAGAAAGGTGTGTTTTCAAAGAATATGTGTTTATGAATAGACTATTTTGTTGTTTCCCTTTAGAAGACCAACCACATTCACAGACTAGAGTTATTTATGTTTTATTCTTCATTGTGTTTTTAGTGCCTAGACTATTGGAAGTCACATAAAAGAAAAAAAAATGAAAAAATAATTGAACAAATATATGGACTATATTTTTTGGGGGGCTTCTGATGGTATTAGTTTCTAATGTAGGGTTTCTTTATGCAAGATTGCTTCATTCATGATGTATACTTTTAATTCCCATGGCTCAGGAGGCTGAGGCAGGAGGAACATGGGTTCAAAGCCAGCCTCAGCAAAAGCAAGGTGCTAAGCAACTCAGTGAAACCCTGTCTCAAAAAAAAAAAAAAAAAAAAAAAAAAGATACAGATAGGGATGGGAATGTGCTCAGTGGCCAATTGCCCCTGAGTTCAATTCTCGGTGCCAACAAAAAAAAAAAAAAAAAAAAGAATTGTTTTATTCTTTTTAAGTTGGTTCTTTTTAGTTATATGTAACATTAGGATACATTTTGATATAATCACAAAAGTATGAATGTGATTTACTTTAATTCATTTCTCAGCACTACCAATTTGTTTTTGTTTTTGTTTTTTGGTACTGGGGGTTGAATTCAGGGGTGTTTAACCCCTGAGCCACACCCCAGCTCTTTTTATTTTTTTTTTATTTTGAGACAGGGTCTTCCTAAGTTTCTGAGGACCTCACTAAGTTGCTGAGGCTAGTATTAAACTTGAGATCCTCCTGCCTTAGCCTTCTGAGTCACTGGCTGGCTACTCTACTGAACTTTCTGCAATTTAATTATAGTTTGTTTTTTTTTTAATTAGTGTTTTGTTGTTATACTTGATGTTGGGACTCACTGTGGTATATTCATGCATGTGTGTATCAAAGTTCAGGCAGATCCATTGCACTGTTCTTCTCCTTTCCTGTCCCTCTTTCTTCCCACCTCCCTTTCATCTACTCTGCTGTTCTTTTTTGTTTATTTATTTCTGACTATTTTTTGTTGTTTTGTTTCAATACTGGAGATTGAACCCAGGAGCATTTAACCACTGAGCCGCATCCCCAGTCCTTTTTTTATATTTTATTTAGAGACAAGGTCTCGCTGAGCTACTTAAGGCCTCAGCCTCCGAAGCTACCATGCCCTGGCCTTTTCTCTATTTTTGATGAAATTTCCTATCCTGTTTTTTTTCCCCTTTCTTTCTCTCTCTCTATTTATTTATTTTTAATACCCCGCCCCCTTATTTGAGATTAGCTTTCTCATATCAGAAAAGAGTTTTGTCCTTTTACTTTTGGAGACTGGTTTATTTCACTTAGCATGACAGTCTCCAGTTCAATCCATTTACTGGAAGATACCATAATTTTATTCTTCTTTATGACTTAAGATGTTCTGTAATAGCCATTAGTCATCATCTTTGAAAAGAAGCCCATTTCAACTAAAATGCACACTGCAATAATGGGTACAAACTAAGTTTATGTTCTGAGTCTAACTAGCAGGCTGGAAAAGTCCCTGGGTACATTGTTAGTGTGAGAGACCATGTTCTACAAGGCAAAAGACTTTTGGAGACACAATATTGTGCCAAAGTCCCATTCAAATAACATGTGAATTCTTCGTGCCTGTCGGGAAATCTGGATCAGAGTCAGCAAGAAAATCCCATCAATATAACTTGTTCTTCATGAGCCTACAACATGAACTTGTACCACACTAATACTAAAGCTCTGGCTTTAGAAAACTAACAGGAAAATGTTGTTCAAGACAAGGGACTTTGTATTTTCTCTGGCACAGAATGAGCTTTAGTTGAAAGCTAGTTACATGGGATAGAATGCTCAGGGGGAATCTGCTGCATCCCCGAAAGTAACCCTGTTTCCTTCCACCCTGTTTTCCAGCATGGGCTACTGCATCCTTTTTGTGCATGGGTTGAGCAAGCTCTGCACTTGGCTAAATCGATGTGGGGCCACCACCCTGATTGTGTCCACGGTGTTGCTGCTGTTGCTTTTCTCTTGGAAAACTGTGAAACAGAATGAAATTTGGCTGTCAAGAGAGTCCTTATTCAGGTATGATTAGACAGGTAAATGTGTACTTTTTCCCATTTATTTGTTCACTTACAAATTTGCATCGGCAAATGAAATAGCATGGGTGTGGTGGTGTTGATTAATCTAGAAAATTTAGTAAAAAAAAATTTTTTCTTTTTTGGTACTGGGGATTGAACTCAGGGGCACTCGACCACTGAGCCACATCCCTAGCCCTATTTTGTATTTTATTTAGAGACAGAGCCTCACTGAGTTGCGTAGTGCCTTAGGCTGGCGTTGAACTTGTGGATCCTCTTGCCTCAGCCTCCCCAGCCGCTATGATTACAAGCATGCACCACTGCACCTGATACTTTTAGTAAAGTTTTAATGGAAGATATATTTTATTTTAAATTTTAACTTTAGGGTTTTTTTAAATGATATTATATAAAATTTAACATGAGCTCTTCTCAGTGAATTTATGAAAGCAAGGCTCATGGAARGTTTTTTGAGTCTGTGAATTTAAATGGAAAGAGTCCTAATGATGAGTTGAACTGTAAAATCAACTGTAAACAAAATGAAACTGATAAGCCTAGTTTTCTCGTTCAGTCAAGTCATTGGAAAAGGTGAGMACACAGCAAGAGAGATGGCTATATGTGTACTTCTTTAGAATGTTTTAAATGCCTTGTGATCTGTAACCTAATTGTTTTATTTTGAGTATTGATTTTGAACAAGGAAGTGAAAGACTCTTTCATCTCCAGAGAGTGTTTTCTGTGGCATGGAAGCTGTTTAAAAATATACCAATGTCATCCACAGCCCTGAACCTGTCAGGAAATATGAACATTCTTTGGGACTGTCACTCACTCATCATGCTGTGTCTCTGGGGCCTAGTCTGTCTCACCTGTGCTATAGCCCTGGTGACCAGTATCTGGCTCTCTTGCTACTGTCACACAGTATTTCCCTGTCTCCCAGGGATCTCCAACCTGTGTTTTCTTCTCCTTCTGCCCTCACTTATATAACCCAGTTGGCCAATGTAATTAGCATGGTTCCCTCAGTTCCCTGTTCAGCTGGTACCTGACACTTTTTCTGGTGGAAAACAAATGACCAAAAGAGTTGGGACCGCTCAAGAAAAGGAGAAGCTTTTGGAAGAGCATAGGAAAACATGCAGAATTAAGAGGAAGGTCAAGAACCTGACCTGTCACAAACAGGAAACAGGGACCCAGACACTCCTTGCTGTGTCCTTTCAGTAATGGGAATGAATGGTAAACCCATCTATCTTTACATCAGAATCCTAGGAAAAGAAAGTCCTCTTGATTGAGCTTGACCTTAGTCTCCGTCAGTGCCTGCCAGTGTGCTAAGATGACGGACCTAGCCAAAGAAGCTTCTTTTGACTTCTATGGTGATATTAGGGCAGCAGAGCTCCTTGGGGGTTCCACAAGGACTTCACAAAGCCAAGCAAGAGGAACGTTTCCAGCCGGAAGTCCAAATGATATGAGAAGGGAACAAGAAATGAATAAATAAAACTAAAGTTGACTATACTCCTCTACTATTTTTAAATAATCCATCTGATTTTACTACATGACAACTTAACTTTTTAAAAATAGAAATAATTAGTTTGGAATGCATGTCTGATTATTTTATTATTCCTATATCATTGTCATCATCATTATTTCAATGGGCACTTTAGGGAATTGTTGCAATGTAAAGTTCTTTTTGTATTCTTTTGCTTTTTGCTGTGCTGGGCATCAAACCCAGGGCCTCACGCGTGCTAAGGCCGCAGAATGACAGAATGACTACAGAGTCTGCTCAACCACTGTCATAACCCTCCACATTCAACCCAGTTCTTGCAGAACACAGTAGATTCCTTCCCGGTCATTCTGAAAACACAGGGCTATTGAAGCTCAGTAATAAAACTTCCTTCTGGTCTCTGTTGCTTAGTTTTGTTTCTTTCACTTTCAATAGTCAGTGCTTTCATGAGAAACTGCAACGGTTCTGCACTGTGTTAAGCCTGTGCCTGGGTAAAGAAATGAACTGTGGTTGTGTCTTCTGGTGATGTTTATTGCTTAAGCAGAACAGCTTTGGGGATGGCTTTCACCGGCAGTAGTTTATTTTAAGGACAGTAAGTTAGCGCTCAGAACCCATACGACTGACACCAGCAATTTAAGAAAAGAAAAACAAAAAGTCCATTGACTTTGCATCCAGAAGCTTCTGTTCTTTTAGGTGGAAGTACGTAGGAAGTGAACAGTTGATTACTAAAACACAACCATTCCATGTTTGTACTTAAAGGGACTTTGGTTCTGCAGGGGGCTTTGGTGGTCAAACGGAATTTTGTGTCATGTATAAATTAAAGCTATTGATTTCTTCTTCTTCTCTCTTTTTTTTTTTTTAGAGAGATTTGTCTTTTATGTAAGTCCTGAGAAGCCTGTTAAGAATCTGAGACTTTAAAATTATTCTCTGTCCTTCAAGTCCAGATGTATATGTGGATTCATCTGTGAGAATAATATTCAGATCAGATGAGTGAACATTTGCTGGTAACATGTGCATCAGGATAGGATCAGGGGTTGACTTGGGGGTCTGGAGTTAGACATTCTGGCTAGGCACCAAGCTTTGCCATTTTATGGCTATATGAGTTGAGGCAAGTTATTTAACCACTCTGTGCCTTAGCTTCTTCATTGTAAAATTTAGAATAATAGTATTTGTCTCCAGGATACGGCATGAGAATAAAATACTCAGCAAAACATGCACAAGACAGTGTCTAGCATGTGGTAAACACTGTGTAAGGTATTCAGATTCTTATTCTGCGCTGTGTTGTAAGATATGGATGGGGGGTGGGTTGTCCATAGAAGAGCTGGAAGTCTATATGGAGTCAGGCATGGGAAAATATTTCAATCTAAAGTAATGTTAGACACAGAGCCCTCTGTAAGTGCAGGGAGTGACCAAGACTCACTTAGGTCTTCAAAGATCTTTCTACTATAGGTCTGAGCTGAGCATTAAAGGATAAAGAAAAACTAAAGTAGCTACTGTGGCCACACCCAAGGGCTGGCTGAATTAAGAAACAGTTGTAATGGTTCCAGACACAGCAATGTCCTCAGCAGAGGTTCTGCTTCTGTTCCTCCTCAGTTCCACATGATAAACCCATCAAGCATTCCTAGGACATATGGCCTGGCTGAGGCCTCTAATTATGGGATGGTTTTGCTTGGCAATATTCTTAAAAGTCTTTACAGAATATCCTAAGCCAGACCTTTATGTTAGAGAAAACACAAATGCTGGCCAAGCTCCAGCCTTCCAGCTGAGGTTTCCTCTCACATAAACGATCCCACTGTGTGATGTATTTTTAGGAGATACAAATGCAGCATCCCCTCACAGCTTTATTCTCCCGTTGGCAAGAATCTTACACACACAAGACAGAAAGAACCGAGCACTTGTGGCTCATGAGAGGCTTGGAAGAGGGTAAGTTGTTGTCTGTGCTGAAGTAGCTGTTCAGAGGAGCCAGGGTTTGAACTCACATCTGGTCTAAAAGCCAAGGGAGCATAAGCTGCCACACCTTTTTTTAGAACTCTTGTTTTCTAACCTCAGTGAGGTCCAGTATAAACACACCCATAATTGCAGCTGGAAGGTATTTTTTCTTTAATTTTGTAACAAGAAACTGTTCTGTGTCCTTTCCTCATCCAATAGGGCCTAGTAATAGCCCAGAACCTTAGATTTGTGTGGACTAAATGATACCATGGTAACATAATTCGATTAGATTAAGCCCCATCCTCACAATACCTGGAAAGATGGAGACAAGCATACTTTCTTTTGCAAGCGCTTCAGGGTCTCTGAATTGCACTCTCGAACTGCTTCAGTGACCCACTGGCCATTGATGAACACTTACAGCCTACATTTTTCTCCCACTCCGAAGGAAGCACCTTTTCTCTCAGTTCTTTTCTAAACTACTGTGCCAGAGAAATTCACAGCTTTCCCAGGGCAAAGAACAAAACCACCAGATACTGACAAATTCTTCTTAAGAGCCAGGTAGTAAATATATTTTAGGCTTTGTGGGCCATAGAGTCCCTTTTACAACTACTGTACTCACGTCTCCTATTGCCTCAGGAAAGAGGCCAAAGACAGGCGTGTGAACACGTTGCCTCCTCTATGGCCCACAGGCTAGAGTTTGCTTATCAACGATAACATTCTGATAGTGAAGTGTTACTGAGTTCACTTTGTTCTGTGTTACTCATAGCCTGTGGGACTGTTTGGTTTAGGTTCAGATGTCGACCTACCTCAGGAATGATGGTGACTATTTCTTGACCTTAGTTGAAATTTCTACTTAACTAAACACTAGATCTATAGCCTTAGAAAATGTCTTCATCTGTCTGAGCTTAAATCTCCGCATTGAGAAATATAATAATACAACTTACCTGACAGGTTGTTGAGGAGGCAATCCATGAGACATGGATATTTAGCTTAGTGCTTAACTTAAAATGAGCATGCCCTAAATCCTGGCATCCTTGGGTCAAAGCAGGGTTCAAAATTGAGAAGAGCCACAAATTTTTACTCCTTTCCTACTTAACTCTGGCAGAACACTACAAATTTAAAAAAAAAAAAATGTGTTTCCTTATTAGGAATTTGGGGATGGTTCTGCTGACCTATAATCCAGCCATGCCAACAAAACAAGTTGATATTCAAAAAACTTGGAGATATGCCTGATAAAAGTGGCTATTTTTATTCCTTCTGTTATTTCTCCAATTTTCTGCAAATAAGAGGTGTGAGGGAGAAATGTGAAGTGCACACATTTTAATCTCATGAGTTGAAATCCTGCAAGGAGAAGGGGATTTTTTCCAAATGATCATTGTTGTAATGAATAATATAGTACTTTGGATCCAGCATATAATTTATGAACATGACATATTTATGTGAAGTAAATATGTATAAAGCTGGATATTTCCATTAAGGCAACTGAGAGTGCTAAATCAAATCAAGGAAGAGACAGGGAGACTGACCTGGCCAGTTATGCTTTCCAGGGAAAGTTCTCTTTGCTAGATGTTTATTGAGAACCGGGCAAAACA